GCCAAGCACCTGGGGCACTGGCTGCGCCACTTCCCGCTGGGCCAGATGCTGTTCGTCAGCGGGGAGCGGCTCATCAGCGACCCGGCCGGGGAGCTGGGCCGCGTGCAGGACTTCCTGGGCCTCAAGAGGATCATCACGGACAAGCACTTCTACTTCAACAAGACCAAGGGCTTCCCCTGCCTGAAGAAGGCCGAGGGCAGCAGCAAGCCCCACTGCCTGGGCAAAACCAAAGGCAGGACGCACCCCGAGATCGACCGCGAGGTGGTGCAGAGGCTGCGCGAGTTCTACCGGCCTTTCAACTTGAAGTTCTACCAGATGACTGGGCACGACTTCGGCTGGGATGGATAACAATATAATTTAAAAAGAAAAAAAAATATCAAGATATAATATATTTTTTTATCATTTGGTAGAGAAAAGGCAGTTTAATATTTGTGCTGGAAATATTTGTTGCAGTATTTTTTTTCAATGAATGTTAGGATTGTCCTCTCCTCTGTCTCATCGTAATGTGTAACCGACACCACACGTTTGGAGGAACAGAAAAGGAAAACGTCACTCGCTTAGATACTTTCATGTTCCAGTTTTTATTTTATGTTCTATATACCCAGTCATGAAGTCTAAGCATCAGTCTCTATTAAACATTTTAAGAAAAATCCCAAGGATAAAACTTCTCTTTCTTTTTTTTTAAATACAAAACCCTGATGAAATTGATGTCTATTGGTATGGTTTTCATGTGTCACTTTTTAAAAAAGAATTACTCATTTGCTTGTTAATTCCATTTGCCATTATTATTATTTAATTTGACCAGAGAGAGAGAGAGAGACAAAAAGAGAGAGAAAGGGAAAGTGAGTAAGCCACCAGGTCCAGGGCTTGAACTGCAGTCGGCCATGTGGGAACCCAGCGCTTTTAATGACCACGCCACCTGTGGGCCCCCTTTTACGTCACTTTTTTAAAAAGTCATTTCCCAGGGGCCAGCAGAGGGCGTAGCAGTTACGTTGGTGGACACCCATATAGTCAACCGTGGTTCGAGTCCCAGACCTGGTGGATTGAAAATCGTGCTGGGCATGTATGCATGCTTGCTCAAGATCCTTGGAGGACAATGGAGGAGAAGGGATTGCAACATGGCCATCTCCCCTAGAGGGTGATTTCTCACTTTTCCTCTCGCTGTCTCGGAGAGAGAGATGCCCTAAGACAAAAATCTCTTAAAAAGAATAGGTTTCCCAGTCACTAATACTACATGTTTGTATACCACTTCACAAGTGCTCACAATACTTTCCAGACATCTTTTTACTCCTTCTACGGCCATGTGGTATAAAGTGTATTATGTATAGGTCATTGTCCTGTTTTATAGATAAGGAAAACGGGCTCTCAGGGAGGTTAAGTGATTTACCTAAAGGCTAGATGACAGATTCAGGACACCACCCTATCTCCATGTGCTCCTTATCCAATGCCACTTTTTCCAAGGGAAACGGGAAACTAGACATCTGTACCTTTAGAATGGTTCACTAGTGGTCAGCTGACCTGAAAAGGGACAGTCAGAGCTTTCTGTCCTTTCTAAGTTCCAAACTAGCCTGTGGCACCCACTCCCACTACAGCGTTGTGTTCAAAGAAACCACTCAGACTTGAACACAGCTTCTTTTAAGAGCCCATCTAAGCCCCTGGCTTCTTAAAGTACCCTGAGGTATGAAAGTTTTCACTGATATTTGAATGAATTGGAGAGACATTATTGGATTCTTATAATAGGGGACAAGGTAGACAGCCACACCAGGAATAGGACAAGATGTGGGAAGAACATAAATTAGCTATTTGTTGACTTTTTAAAAAATAGACTTCAGTTAGAAATTATACATATGAACCTCATTTTTTTTTTTTTGCCTCCTTTTAAAAACTCATTTCTTCACGATAGCCATGTACAAGAGAGAGAGAAGACCCTGTGATAGGGTCTCGTCTCGATCTTCCCACAGCCCTCTCACTTGCCAGGAGCCAGGGCACAAGGGCACTGGCTAGGCGCTTTCAGGCTGACCAGAGGATCTGAACCTGACCATCAGTCTTGTGGCTTCCAGTTTTGCAGTTCAATTTGTTACCGACTATGCCACCAGGCTGGGGTGTATGTCTTTTCTAAGAAGGAAAATCTAGGTTTCTTTGTAATAGCTCACTTCTAACCTTGGAGCTAGTACTTAAAAATAAATAAATAAATTACAGTTTGCTTACAGTGCTTTTATTTTTCACGGTGGAAAACTGTCACTTTGTCACTTGATTCTTTTTCCCCCAATTTCCTATTTGTAAAATGTATAAACTATTGTTCCTTAGTATTTGGAAAATATTCTCTGAATGCAGATGTGGCTGGAAAATGATAGCTTTTCCTCATCTCCCGTCTGTTCCTATCCATCCACCATTTAAATCACTCAAATAAATCAATAGTTTATTAAGAATCTCCCTTTCCTCTCTGAGTGGGTATTAACAAGATTAGCATTAATGGGAATTAAATTGGTTTAGAGAGGAGCACATATGCACGAAATATATAAAACATTTATAATTAGTCTGTCAGCAACATTTTATTACAGGTTTAAACCCAAGAGGAAAATGTCTCCTATTTTGTAGAAGTTTTCTTTATCTGCCACAGTTTAAAGGACCAGACACTCAAAAATAATATTCACTTTCTTCTTTATTATTGTTATTCAAAAGAAACCGTGACCCTTTTTTAAATGGGCAGTACAGTTTGGCACGTCCCAGAGATGCTACACCAGTGATGTAAATATTTCTGGAGAAGCCTAACACAGGATTAAAATGAAGCGAGGAAAGCCTTTTTAAGTTTCTAGATATTTTGTCGCTGCTCCAGATCTTTGGATTTCTTTGTTAACATCCCATTTGTGGGCGTTACGTCAGCTCCTAATGTAGGTCATCTTTTTCCAGTAGATTTCCCTCACTGCTCTGTCCTTGATTTCCTGATGCTACATCCTGTCCTGTCTCTGTTCTACCGGAATGATCATTCGCAACAGCATATTCATTTTAACCTCTCCTCATCTTTTCCTTTAACTCCTTTTGCTTGTACATCTGGTTGTTTTGTAAGGGTTTGCTTAGGCTTATGCAGAAGTGACTTGCACAAAGAAACATGCGTTTAACAATGGCATTCAGCTACCTGCGTCTTTTTGTGTGGAAGAACAGAACTGGAGGCAAAAGAGCGCTTCCTTCCCATAAATATTTCCATCATATTATTTTAAAAATGAATGACTGCAGAGCACTCCAGGACACCCTCTATTCTCCTAAGACTTCCTAAGAGTGTTCATGGTTATGGAGCCCAGCAAGATGTGCAAAGCTCTGCAGTCGGTATTCCCTAAGTTTTCCCCAGTGGAATATTTCCCGTCTGCCTCTGTGTGGTACTTGTCCCTGCTGTACACCGACTTGGCCTCACATTTACACTGTCCATTAGCGATACCAAATATTAGGCTTTATCTTGGCTGGAAAAATCTCGGCCATCCTTCCTCTGAGTTCTGTGCTCTAGAGCCATGCCTAACTGACTCTCTTCACTTGGAGGGGAAGATCTTTCCAGAATATCCAGAAAAGACCTACAGCTTCATTCTGAACAGTTTGCCTCTGAGGTCATGTTTATCTACACTTTGTACATTCTGCAGATAACTTAGTCAGCTTTAAGGGAAATCAGTTTTATTCTCATAACTGGAGGTTAATGAACTTCTAAAGGATGGATATTTAGTAGTATTTAAATACTAGTCGCACTCTATTTTCTTACCTTAAGAAAGTTGGAATAAATCTCAATGGTAATTGGATCAAATCCCCATTCAGCATTCAAATCCTTTTTTCTTTCTTTCTTTTTCTTCCTTCCTTCCTTTCTTTTTTTTCTTTCCCTTTCTTCTTTTTTTGTTTCTTCTCTCTCTCTCTCTCTCTCTCTCTCTTTCTTTCTTTCTTTCTCTTCCTCCTTTCTTTCTTTCTTCTTTCTCCTTTCTTTCTTCTTCCTTTCTCTTTCTTTCTTTCTTCTTAAGGTACATTTATTTAATTATTCCGAAAGAGAGAGACACAGAGAGAGAGAGAAAAATAGACACTCCCAAGAGGGTCCTCACCATTCATTGCCCGCCCCACCACCAGTTTCAGCCTGTTATAATTACTAGTACACCTGGCTATGTGAATGAAGAGGTTCTGAGATGTGAACCCAGAACCTTTCCCACACGGGTCCATCTGTACTACCCCTACACTATTGCATGACCTTTCAGGTTCATTTATTCAGCTGAACGTACATGTTTTAAAACATCGATGTGTCTGTAAATGCTTTTTCCCCCTCTTACAGCGTGCATGCATGCATACATGAAAGAGTGAGGGAAAGAGAAAGATGAGCACTCTCCTTAGGGTCTGGTCCTCCAGTCCTCCAGGCTGTCAGATCTTGGGCACTCGTGCAAGTGCCTGGTGTGTGTTTCAGGCCACCTGGGCCAAGGGTTTGAACACAGTCACACAAGTTTCTCTTGAGCAGCACATTACTGCTGTACCATGGAACCAGCTCTGTGATTTCTTAACTCTTGATTCTATAGCTGAAGTGAGGCTAAATTTTCTTTCAATACTCCTGTTGTTATATTCTGCCAGCTAAAATCTGCCAAACCTCCTGTTACTAATGAAGATATCTTAAAACAAATGAGTAAGTCAATAAATGTGTCTGTAAGATAATGATGCCTTATATTCATGTAGCAGAGTACATTTTCAAATGTATCATTTCACCTTCATTTAATAGCAGCTTTCCATTCTCACGAGCTCCCCTTTACAGATGAGGAAACTAAGGCTTAGGTTAGTGGGTCTCAACAAAAGGCAATTTTGTATCCAAGGGCAATGTCTGGGGCCATTTTTAGTTGTCTCCTGGGTTGAGGAGTCCAGGAGGCAGGTATTCATAGACAGAGGCCAGGGCCCTGCAGAGTATCTAATGCACAAGAGAGCCCCCATAACAAAGAATTATCCCAACCCAAATGTCTGTTTTGTGGACATTTCTAGCTTAAGAAAAAAGGAATCACAACCACTGTGCAAGTAATCAGGTATTAAGGCTAGATTCTAGGGACTGATGGCAGTGTATTCATAGAACACAACTCTGTAAAGTGGCCCCACATGGGAAGGTTCCAGAGACCTCCTGAGTATGCGAAGCACAGTTCTGTGCCCGTGATCTAAGACTGGATAAGGTTTGGGATGGACCACAACATCCCATAGGGATGCTGTATCTCTCTCTCTGCCTGTCTCTTTCAATCATGAAATAAATTAACAAACTTTTTTTTAAAAAAGATAAACCACCTGCCCTGTAGCCTAGTAGTTAAAGGATTCAGATCCCACCTGGTCACCCTGGCCCTACTAAGGCTTGAAAAACATGAAAGGAGCATGTGTATGCATGTCCCAAATCTCAGTAGAATAGAGTAATGGAGATGAGATTGCAACTTGACCATGACCCACTGGGAGATGCTTCTCTCTCTGTCTCTGTTTCTGTCTCTGTCTCTCTCTCTCTCATGCGTGTGTGTGAGCTCATGTGCTCTCTGGCAATTAAAATAAAAACCTAAAAAGCTGAAATCTAATTCATGCTTGACTGGTAATTCTTTTGGTCACCATTCTAGTTTTTCTCTTGAAAACCTTTTTTTTTTTTTTTTTTAATTTCCCTTCTAACAAGTGACTCCATTATACTAAGCAGGCCG